CTGCAAGGTGATTTCAGCCAGCTTATTACCCTGCTATAACTAATCATGAAGACATGAAAAGAATTTAGGAAATGATATCAACCCCTCTAGTCATTTTTCCATTCACCGTCATTTTAAACAAATTCTCATTTGACCCTAATCTTCATAAATTCTACATAGGATAAGATAAATCGCAGGAATCATCATGGCATAATTGGAGTAATTGCTTCTTACTTGCTGTGATCCAATCATAAAATAACTACACCAAAAAACCACAAAAGGGTTTATTTGAAGACACTAATCTCTCTCGAAAATAAATTTATGGTACTAAGCATCCGCATCAACCCCTAAGAAAAGAATGTGAGTAACTAAATAATGAAAGTAGATAAATTAGTACCATTTTAGGACGGTCATACTCCAGCTGATCATTAGAAGATAAACCAGACTGCCTGCATGTTAAAGAATCTGCATCTGCCTCAAGATCACCCACCACCGCAGTCAGCTTGTGATCACTGTCACTAGAGCTGCTGCTTATTGAGCTTACACTGCTACAGTTACTGTTGCTGCTACTGTTGCAACCATTTTGCATTCGTACTCCACTATTTTCAAGCCAAGATCCTTCTATAGAATCTAAGTTACCAGCCCTGTGAAAACAAGATTATGGGAAGGTACAGTCAAAAGATTCATAAACCATTAAAGGACGTCGAAGTTAGTTGGATAAACTGTGACAAGATGAAGCCAAAGAAAACATGTGCACTTATCTGAATGAAAATTAAATTTAGACATTCTTTAGAATCTGATATATTAGACCATCAGTAAAACCATCCTGATGGATGAAGAAATGGCGATGACTATTCAAAGCTACCCTACGCATAAAGAACTATAGTCTTATTTTTTTTCAAATAACTATTCTAATTCTCAATCACAAACTAAATGTGAAAACAAGTCCTTCCAGGAATAAGCCAAAAATGGAACAGGCTACTCTAGTGGACGAAACAAGTTTTTTTTCACAAGAAAGAGTAGAAAAGAAAAGCAAGAGTTATGGGTTGTCATAAAATGTCTTTTTTTAAAAATAAAAATTGTGTAGTGTGTATTAATATTGGCACCAAGGGGCACCTATCCATGTACAAAGATTTACAATTCAATCAGGGTTGTCGTAAAATGTCATGGTTATTTCTGTTAGTAATTCAATATTTCAATTAATAGCGAAGTGGATGTGGCCGGTCTTTCTTAGTTTTGCATGACTATCCAAGTTTTTTTTTTTTTCAATGAATGCTGCATCATTGTGATTAAAGAACCAAAAAACAAATGCATAAAACTGAAATGACACAGCACTAACCAATGCTTGAAGAAAGATGAACCCTGTCGGAGATGGTCCTATCCAATTTTGTAGCCAAAACCTGTAAGTTCAAAATATCTTGCATCAATTTTGGCAAGACATCTAGTTAATTTTAGGCATTATGATACATAATAATCAAACACTTGAAACTTATGCCCTAACAGCAGTGACAACAAAGTCACAGGTGCACAGATTGGCGATTCTTGCCTTAACTCAAATATACCTTTTAAGAGAAGACCTCGCTAATGATGCTTGCAAGACAGGTACAAGCACTGCCTCAGCTGGATAAATGAACGTTTTTTCATGTACTGATAAGTAATCTGGAGGCCCCTTCTGGTCACCTCTTCCACCTGATTGGGATTCAGGAACAGGGGGCTTAGGTAAATTCCTGGCAGAGTTTAATTGTGGCAGCTTATCACTACCATATCTAGGGCAACCTAAGGTAACTTCCATGTAGCAAGCTTGGCCCCTCATCTGGCAGTCTGATCCTTGAGAAACATGATGCTGTAGACCAATAAATCCATTTGAAGTCCTAAGCTTGCCTGAACTGTTTAAAAGGAAGAAATACAGCTTTGTGAAGAAAATGGTCGATACATTAACATTTATGTATATAACTTAAATGAATATAAACCTGATAAATATAAAGACAGATTACTGCAAATTCAAAAAATATTGTGTACCTGAAATACATTTGCTTGACAAGGTCATTTGGACAACATCCAGTGAGATTACCCCGCATTCCATGTGGTGAAACAATCACTGGTGAACATAATGCAAAATACTGTCAGAAGTGTATGAAGGAAACAATGATTGCATTCACTAGACATTTTCCTTCACGGAAAACTTACAAATAACCAAAATATTTAGAAATAAAGAAAACAATATGGTAGGAAACAATAGTTATCTTACAACCACCAAAAACAAAAGTGCATATGTAATAGTAATTACTTCCATGACTATATAGGACAAAGCATCATGCGACCAAGCAATACAAGAAAGTAGGATCTAGAATAGAAATATTGATTCACCACTCTAAAGCCAAAGCCATGCCTTTCCCAGTAAGCCCACAAGATATTTACCAAGCACTAAATCCTCTCGTTCTCCTATTCTTATCCACATAGATCTTTAGTTCACAACATATCATTCCTCACATAAACATCATTATTCCCACACCAATTCCGCATACCATTTTCCTTCCAGACAACCAATTGATGTGCATATAACTTATAAGAAACATGCACATCTAATATATCCTTTTTTGCCTTAAAAATCCATCTCAATACCCACCTATTAACAGTTAACTTTATCTACCCTTGATGTCCATGGCCAGACTCAAGTCTGTGCACCTTAGCCCACAGAGATGCCACAACAGGCAATCCTCCCAAAAGAATAAAAAAAAAACAATAATGATCTCTAGAAATCCTAGCATTCCTCTCCAATCAAATCACCCACACCCTATCAAAAAAGGCCATGTGCCACAAAGACATAACTCCATACCACATAGGGCTGAAGAAATTAACGCCTCAAGATTGGAAAGGATACCTAGAAACTCCAAAAGTATCATAAAGACAAATCCAGAGGCTCATCAAGAGATTGGACAATGTGCTTTTGATTAATGTTAGTCTTCCACCCTTGGACAGGAATCTACTGTTGTGCTTTTGATTAATGTTAATCTTCCACCCTTGGACAGGAATCTACTGTTCCGCCCGGCTAGTCTTTGTTCAAACATGTTAATCATAGGATCCCATACCCTCCCTTCCATGAATTTGAACCCCAAACACAAGCCAAGATACTTGATAGGAAGATTAACACACTCAGCAAGCTTGATCTCATCCCTTCGGTCACTAACGCAAATCATCTCAGATTTTTTCAAATTAATGTTTAAACCAGGTACAAGTTGAAAACAAAGAAGAATATACCTTAGATGCAAAATCATCTTCTCTTCAACTTGACAAAAGATTAAGGTAACATCCGCAAAAATGAGAAAAAGCGGATCCCTTTATCTTAAATCTCTCGAGGCTCTAAAAAAAGTGGATGGCCCATCATTCACTAACACAGCAAAAGAAGAGATAGTCATAAAAGCATACATCCATTTCCTGCACTTCTGTCCAAAACCGAGTCTGCTCTGCATATAATAAACAAAGTTCCAACAAACATGGTCATACGCCTTCTCCATGTCTAATTTACACATAACCCCGTTCCTCTTGTTGCCCACTAAATCATCAACCACTTGTCACCATCACCACATCAAGAATTTGTCTACCCTCCACAAATGTATGTTAATTCTCCCCAATCACTTCCCCAAGTACTTAAACCAACCTTCTGGCCAGCACTTCCGACATGAGCTTGTAAATAGATAACACCAGATTGATAGGTTTAAGATCCTTTATGTCTTTTGCACCTTCCACTTCAGCAATATGCACCAAGAAAGTGAAGTTTAAAGATTTTTACGAAAGAGTCTAACTTATGCAAATCACTAAACACCTCCACCCTGTCACTTTTGATA